CTGGGGATTTGGGGAGTTGTAGTCCAAGAAAAGTAACTTCTCAGCATTGGCCATTAGCCTCCATGAAGGGCTCCCTTTCCCAGTCCTCTGGACTCATAATGTGTTAGGCCACAGTTCAGTCAAACCCAGCCGTTGCTGGTAGGAGTTGTCCAAGGCTGATGGGAATTGGAGTCCAACACACCAGGAGGCTGGTGGAATGGGAGAAAAGGTGGGCCATAGGTGTTGATGGTTTTGGAGAAGGAGTTGGCCTCATGGGGGACAGAAGCATTGAGAAACTTCCACACTGGTATACCTGCCTCTATCTCATCCACCTTGAATTTGTATAGGCCAGCGGTACCAGGTGCTTTGGACTTCAACTCCCAGAAGCTCCAGCCAGCTTGGTCAACAGTCAAGAATTCTGGGAGCTGACGTCCAAAACATCTTTAGAAGCAAAATTTGGATACCACCGGTATAGACTACTGCTTTCTGTGATACTTTTTGTTTTTTGTTTTTCCCCACATCCTGATCTCCCAATATTCGGCAGCCAGACCAAATGTGTGTGTCCATGTGCCTTCAAGTTGCCTGTCAACTTATGAGGACCCCATGAATTTGTAGGGTTTGCTTAACACAAGGAATACTCAGTTTTGCCAGTTCCTTCCATTGAAACAGAACCTATAGTAGCTGATATTCGCTGATGGTCTTCCACCCAAGAGCTGACCTTTCTTAGCTTCCAAGACAGGATCTAGTGCCTCAAGAGTATTTAGGCAGCTACAGACCAAATACCTTGGCTTAAAAGCAGCAAAGTGTGTCTCTTCCCCACATCTGAACATTTTAGCCAAATTATTCTATTATTTTTTTAATGTATAGATTAGCCAAAAGAAGCTAAAGAAGTATGAACGGGAGTACCACACCATGAGAGAGCAGCAAGCTCAGCAGGAGGATCCCATAGAAAGATTTGAGGTAACGCATTTCTGTTTTGAGTGGGGCGAGGCCTTTCTTTTATGTTGCTGTTGCAAGTGACACTTCCCTTCAACTCGGAGCCTGCTAGAGATGGCAAGTTACCACACCTCCCTCATTCCTGGCCATCTTCCTCAGGATGATGGGAATGGTAGCTCAGAATGTCTGAAGTGTGCCAGGTTGGGGAGAGCTGCCACATCTAAATGACAGAGAAGCAGGCTACCAGGTTGGGATGTGACAATGTTATGAAGGCAAGTAGTGACTTCATGACAGAAAACAACCTGCTTTAACTCGAAATAAATGTGGACATTTCTCACCACCATCTTCAAATCATCCACCTCTGTGTTTGCTTCATTGGTGCTTCCCTTTTTCTCTCCTTGGTTGATACTTAAAGACCTGTGGCCTTGCAGAGAGAAAGCGGAGCAAACCCAGCTTGCCTTTGCTGCCGGGGAATGAGGAATGCTCCTGATTGAATTGAATTAATTATACTGTTTCCCCCCCCCTTCCATTTCCCCTTTGCGTTTACCCAGCGGGAGAACCGGCGCTTGCAGGAGGCGAACATGAGACTGGAGCAGGAGAATGATGACCTGGCCCATGAGTTGGTGACCAGCAAGATTGCCCTGAGGAAGGACTTGGACAACGTAAGAGCCGAGAAGCGTCTTGCTACATTGGTGTGTTTGTGGTTAAAACAAACCCTTTTCTTGAAAACAAAGAGCTTGGGGAAAGTGAGTGTTTTGGGCAACAGCTCCCAGGGTTCACTTTTCCCAAGCTCTGCCTCAGAAACCATGTTTTCCAACCTTTGTTGGAAAAGCATCCCATGTGAGGTCTCTTCTCGGTATGCTTGGAACTTGTCCCAGAAACACCTGAAGAGATGGAAACAAAGCCCAATTGTTGTTTGTGAGGCAAACAAGCATTCTAACTGCCCTTTTGTGCTAATTGCCAATTGGGATGGTAGTATGCTGAAGGCAAGGGTCTTCTGTTGATAGCACTGGGATGCCACCCCCTTTATCACTGTTCTTCCTCCTCCACACAGTTTGGATCTTCAGCTTTCTGAAATGGGATAGAACCCTTGATATTAAAATCCTGTTTCTAAATGAATGGGATGGAAACCCAAACTTGACTCCCAGGCTACTCTGCCCAGGTGCAGCCACACCAAAGCAGTGCAATTTACAGAAATGTGGACTGATTGAATGGGTTTACTCTAGTTGGGACTTGCAGTTGGATCTAGGTCTCTTCTCCCTCCCCCCCCCTTGCTGTGTCCCCTTCTGGGGTGGCTGTTGTATGTGACTTGGTGATTGGAGTGCTCTTTCTCGCTGGGTGGGAAGGCTACTCTTGAGAGTCAGTTTTTGCATGTTTCGATTTGCAGGCAGAGGAGAAGGCTGATGCCCTGAACAAGGAGCTGCTCATGACCAAACAGAAGCTGATCGATGCCGAGGATGAAAAGAGGCGCCTGGAAGAGGAGTCGGCACAGGTTTGGGCAGAGCCATGGCTGCATGGTCCAGCACTGGTGGGGTGGGGTGGCTGCATGGGAGGGTGAGCTAAGCATTGCCCAAAGAGAGGGAGGGGTCCAATTTACTTGATGAAAGAAAGGCAGGGCTGTAATTTCACATGAAATAAAAGTGCAGTGGTTGTTTTGCTTTGCTTCCGTGATGGTTCATCCTGGCCTACAAGGAGGAAGGAAATCCATTCTGCAGTCAGGAGGGAGGTGCTTTTTCATGGGCTGGAATGCCTGGGGTTTCCCTCAGCCGCCCCTTAACTTGCCAACCCCTGCCCTCACCTTTCCATTCCAGCTGAAAGAGATGTGCCGCCGGGAGCTGGACAAGGCAGAGTCTGAGATTAAGAAAAACAGCTCCATCATTGGTGACTACAAACAGGTAAGCGAAAAGAGCTTCTGGGTCCTTTAGGAGGAAGGTCAGAGCTCAGTGGCAGAGCTCCTGCCTCTCACACAGGAAGTCCCAGGTTCAGCCCCCGGCTTCTCCAGACCAGGCTGAGAAAAACCTCAGTCAGGACACGAGACGAGACAGAGCCTTCCCAGTGGCCGCTCCTACACTGGAGCTCCCTTCCACAGGAGATCCGGTTAGCCTCCTCTCTGCTCTTTTTTTGCTGGCAGGTTAAGACCTTTTTATTGAGGCAGGCATTTTTGAGTTTAAAAATGGCACAATAGTGTTTACAGTGGTGTGCTCGCTTCTATTTTGTACATTTTTAATTATGTATTTTATAATGTATATTAAAATGGTTTATGTGTTTTTAACAGGATTGATGTTTAGTGGGTTTTTTTAAAAAAATCATATAGTACACTTTTTAGCTAAACTTTTTAAAAAATTGTAAGCTGCCTTTGGTCCTGTGGCAGGGGAAAGGCACGATAGAAATCAAATAAATAAATAATAACTAGTGTTTGAAATCCTGGAGTTGTCAGGGGTAGAAATTACTGAGCTAGATGGGGTAATAGTTTGATCCAGGATAGGGAAGATCTCTATATTGCATTATATTATTAGCTATGCAATCCTAGCGATGGTGCGGTGTTCAGGACATAGTTCTGGCTGCTTCCATCTTGAAAAAATGGATTTTAGAGGTGGGAAGGGAGCAGAGAAAAAAAACAAGAAAAATGGAGCAGGCTGGATAGGATAGAACACTCTCTTGCACAGGTGATGGAAATGTTTGGGGCCTTCTAGTTTTGGGGAAAGTGAATAATGAGAGGTAGACTGCCTCTTTAAAATGATATAATAGGCAGAGTGGGGGACAAACAGATGTATTTCTGCCCTTTGTCCTAATACTAGAATTGGGGTTCATCCAAGGAGATCTTTCATGCACAGCACATAGTTTGTGAAACTCCCTGCGGCAAGGTGTGGAGGGGGGCACTGGCACAGGAGACTTTGGCAGGGGATTAAGGACATGAGGTGGAATTGGTGTGCCCATCTTCAGAGGCAGACTACCACTTTGTACCAGTTGCTGGACAGATCCCTGTTGCCTCCAGGTTCTGCTTCTAGGCTCCCTGAAGGGATCAAGTTGGTCACCAAGGGAAACAGGATAACGGACTGGATGAGCAGTTGATGCATTAGATCCTATATGTTGCAATGCAACCCATATCATCTCCAAACAATGTAATCAGGCTGGAGCTTGTCATGCCAGAGACATTGTGACAAGATGGCCGCAAGCTCAGGGCTCTACTGATGTTCTCTGCCTGACTTTGACAGATCTGCTCCCAACTGAGCGAAAGGCTGGAGAAGCAGCAGGTGGCAAATAAGGCAGAAATCGAGAAGATCCGGGTGAGTGTTGAGTGGAATGGGTTTGTAGCTCCATGCAGGAGCTGAGGGTTCTGCATCCCTGCCCCTTGGGGCAGAGATCCCAGGGTGTTTCTGACACATTTGCTTGTCATACTTGTTCCACTGCCTTCCTGTTAGTCTAGAATGAAGGAAAGGCCCCTCTGTGCCACCTTGAGGCTGTTAAAAAAGGACAGGGTTATGGTTTTATTACATAAAATAAAGGTTTCAGTGATTAGCCTCCTGTTGCTTCCATGATTGCTTATCCTGGCATAGAAGGGGGCAGGAATCACAACTTCTTTTGATTTCACATTATCCTCTGAATAATTTCCCTACCACTCTGCCTGTCTTGAATGAGGGAGAAAATCCAGAAGTTGAGGCAGGGTAACTTAAGTGTAAGAAGAAGGCAAAAGAGGAGCCTGAATGGGTTTTAGCTTGGAGAAGGTGGGCTGAATTGGAATTTGGGAAGAAGGTGAGATGTTCCTGTCCAGTGGACAGTTGGACAAAAAGATCTCAGCCTCACCCTACCCTCAAGGCATCAGATCCTGTCTGATCTTGAAAGCCAAGCAGGGTCATACCTGGTTAGTACTTAGATGGGAGACTGCCAAGGAATACTTTACAGGCTCTTTCAGTGGAAGGCACTGGCAGGACCATCTCTGAGGATTACTTCCCTAAGAAAACCCTGAGATTCATGGGGTGCCATAAGTTGATAGGCGACTTGAAGGCACATAAACACATACCTGGGAGATGAGGAGAGTTAGGGAGGCAGAGATGTTCATACTGGGACCTCCTTTGCTTCAGCAAAAAGTGGATGACTGTGAGCGCTGCCGGGAGTTTTTCAACAAAGAAGGGCGGGTGAAAGCAGCCAGCATTGTCCGAGAAGGCTCCGATGAGGAGACCGACGAGGAGAAGGAGGCCCTGAAGAACCAGCTGAGAGAAATGGAGCTTGAACTGGCCCAGACCAAACTGCAGCTAGTGGAGGCAGAGTGCAAGATCCAGGTAGGCCATTGCCTCTGTGTGAATGGCAAGTCCTGAACGGGATGTGTGTGCCACTGACATTTTGCCTCTGGTTTCTTCCCCCTGCCTCTCTAAAGATCTAGATTTGAGTCCTGCAGTAGTGAATGGCAGGTGTTTTCTGGATAGCTTCAGTAAATTGCACAAACAGGGTTGCCCTCTTGCTTAATTTTAATGGTGTGTCTGTTTGTACAAATAATCCAATTTTGAAATTGTCCTTTGGGAAGAAAGGCAAAGAGAACAGGAATTGGCATTTTGGAGGCCATAGGGCAAGGTCATTCTGCCCTCTTAAATGTCTCTAAAAGACAAGTTTCTGTATGTTTTCCCTGGAACCAATGGAGGAGGTTTTGTTTGCACACCCTGACTGAAAAATTATTGGATTTGTGAAGTTGCAAGTTGCCAATTTTGTCTTGCTGAAGTGGTTAGGATGTTTCTTGCATGTCTTATGATGCTGCCAAGGCTGGTTATAGGGGCACAGCACATATAATGCAAAAAGCCAGCCCCTCAAATATTGCTCTGTATGGAAATGGGTGACCACATTTTACATGGGGGGACCCTCTTTAGACTATTAAGTCCAGGGTCTAAAGTTGCCTTAGGTGTACCTCTGGGTCTGTCGGAACTGGGTTCCTTTCATCTGGCAAGTGGGACCACGTTACATGTGGCATATCCCACATCCCCCTTGCTGTTGTCGCTCCCTAGGATCTCGAGCATGACTTGGGGCAAGCGCTGAACGAGGTGCAGGCGTCGCGAAAGACGTGGTTCAACCGAACATTGAGCTCTATAAAGACGGTGACGGGGGTGCAAGGGAAGGAGACCTGCTGAAGTGGCATATGGAGGCCACCTCCTGTCGGGACACCCTTCCGCCTTCCGTTTCCCGCCAAGGCCGGACGCCACGTGGGAGAGAGGACCAGAATGTACATAAGACTAGGGAAAAACAAAAAGTACCACGCAGCGCATGTCGGGGCTTTCCACAGGTCAGTGACTCAAGCTGGATGTGAGGCTTGGCTCAGCCTCGCCAAGTGCCGTCTCTTCATACTACTGATTATTTAACCCGGGGGTGTAGCTGTAGGCCGAAGCGCTTTTTGGAGCAGACTAAAGAAAACAAAACACTCCATTCTACAGTCTGGTCGAGGGGGGGGAGGGCATTTCGCCGGCCTAGGTACGAAAACAAAACCACACACACACACACACAAAAAATAACCTTACCAAAACCTCTAACTTATTAAGTTTACAGGCGAGAGCTTTTTTTACCATTATAACTTTTTAAACATTTTATTTGAAAGGAACAGCAAAACTCTTTTAACAAGAAGTGACATCAGTGCCAGAGACCAGATTCCTCTTCCTCCCACTTCCCCTCCCTCATTTGACCTACCAGGCAGGGATGTTTTGCATGGTTACCTTTTGGAACAGGATCCTGACCCCAGAAGCGTCCGTGTGCTCCTTACTTGTGGCTCTCCATGTTGAACATTATCCTGTCATTAACCAATTCTATGCAACTCTGAGGAGGGAAGTATGGCTTTCCTTGTGTTTCCTTTACTCTCCAAAGCCACCACTGGAGCCCTCTCTGCTCCAAAGAGGTGAGAACAATCCCTTTCCGTTTTGCACATGGTTTGTGCTTCAAACCCTATAAATGCACCTTTGTTGTTTTGGTGTGCTGGGTCCAGGCTTAACTGGGCTCAGTGTGGTTCTCACTGAAATCAGGGGAGCATAAGTTAAGCCGAGACTAACATGCCCCATTGATTTCTGGATCCAACCCAGTCTCTGTTCTGAAATAGTGGCTTTGTACTTTAACTTAACAGGAATTAAGAACTTTAAATTATTGTTGACCTATGTCCGTCTTTTTGTTTTGTTTTCCTTTTGTGGGGATTTCCCTGCTTTTTCCAGGGTGCTTTTCTAGTTTTGCACATAGGTAGGAACAGGAGACACAGCTGAGAATGGGAAAGAGAGGAGACTCCGTTTTCACTAGCGCTGCTTTTATCCCTGCCAGGGCTCTTCAGGCATTCTGGCAGCTCCATGGCAGGATTTATCGTCTTTTCCTCATGTTCCTCTGTCTCCACATCACACCCCAATGCTTCTTGTAACTACACCGGTAGGTACTAACGCTGCTTGGATTTCTGAGCGCTTAAGAGCATCCAGAACTTCTCACCAGAAAACCTGTAGAATGGAGGTTTTTGCACCTTTGTATTTTTTTTAATTTATACTGGTTTGTGCTATGCTGAAATAACTATTGTATCAGCAGATAAAACTTCTGTTGTGTGCAGCGTGTGAGTATAAGCTGGTTACAATAAGAGGCACTGGTTTGTATATAAAGATAATTTGTACTTCTACGTTATTTTTCTTGTTGACCAGACTAATGCTAGCTATTGGCACCCGAGATGATAAAGAGGTGAGGCCGTGCGATGCCCAAAAAGATTCATGACTTCTCTTCCCCTTTAACTGTGTACATGAATATCTTTATTGTTTAATAATACCAAAAAGCAAACAAAAAAAAGTTACTGTTAACTCCATCAATAATAGACGTGTGGACATTGTAGTAGAGTAGGTGCAGTGTGTAGACCTTTGGATTGATATATAAACTAGTAAAATTGTATTACTAATTTCAGTTGTCTTTATTTCACTTCTAGTGGCAACATTTTCTCCTCAGTATTTCACAGTGTTTAAAGCAAGAGAAAACCCATAGTGTAACTCCCTTCCACAGGGCAAGGC